TAGTGCCTAAGGCACTTGACTGCTAACCAGAAGACTGGCAGTTCAAACCCACCAGCCACTCCTCAGAAGGAAGATGAGGCAATCTACTTCCGTAGTGATACTGCCTTGGAAACCCAAGGAGGGGTTGCTATGAGTTGGGTCCAACTTGACAGCCTATAACAACAACAACAACAGGCAGTGAAACTGGAGGACAGGGGTAGGAGGGAGAGTTTTCACTGAAAATTTGGTAAATATCAAAATTTTCACTGAAAATTTTTCTATACCTGTGATTTTTGAACCATGTGAACCAATCCATCTAATTCACCTGCTGGTTATTAAAAATGAAATTACATTAGTTGCCAGGTGTCAGGATGAGGTAGTGGAAACCACAACAGAATAGTTATCAAAAGAACCGGGTTCTAGTTCTTGCTTCTTCACTACTTGCTGACTGGCGTTAAGCAAACAGGGCTGATCCCAAAAAGGTTAGAGAAGCTACCCTCCAAGGCCCTCTCTAGCTCCAACATCCAGAGCTATAAATTGCAGTTTTTCCTTACACATCTTTTAATTCATGTCTCTACCTCCTCTTTTCCACTGCAGCTCATCAAAGCTCAGAGGAAAAGACAGACAATTGGAGAAAATAAAATTGCAAAGATGACTTTTATAGAGCTCCAGTTGAATCATTGTGCATTCCACCTCCAAAGCTGAAAATGATGAGTTTAATATCACACAGAGCAGGGCATCTTGAGTCTCTCCAAAGACAGCTTATGCTACCCAGAGAACTGGGAGCTCAGCAAGACATCATTTTTCACTCCAACTCTAAGGCAAATGAAATGACAGTCATTGGCCCACATTCTAGAAGCAACATGGTTTTCATTTGGTTTTAACTTTGTTTGAAAGTGTCCCAAGGAGGAAGAATCCTCCTAAGCTGAGACATTTCTTCTTTCTCAGGACTGTGTGTCAGAAAGGGGCTGGAAAGGCAGCTGGGATTTGGCCTTGGTTGCTTCTAGTGTTTGTCATTGATGATAACAACTGTGCTGGGGTCAGGAGACCTTTGTTCTTGTCTGAGTTCTGCCATGAGCTTGGCAAGTCCCTTTCCCATATAGGGCCTTCATTACCCTTAGAAAGGATTAATAGATATAAATTAGGCCCACACAATGAAACCTGTGAAAGCCAGAACTCAATGAGACTGCTTTGTTTTGCAAATGATGGTAATTATTTTAGCAGTGTTTGATCCTAACTATAACTCTCTGAAGTTGGAATTATAATACCCATATATTATACCACATATAATTCCCAGGAAACTGAGGCTTAGAGTGGAGATGTGATTTATTCCAGGATCCACAGCTAAAAGTGGCAGAGCTGGGGCAAAACCATAGATAGGCTCACTGTAAGAACAATTACGTTACCTGAAAGGAATTGCTCCTTAATCAGAGAAGGCAAATTCTGCTAATACCTTTAGTCATGAAAGTATTTAACTGTTTTGGATAAGTAAAATTATGACTTAACCCCCAAAATATCTCACATTTTCAGAAGATCTCTGTAGAAGGATGCTAATGGTGGTGCTTTCAGATGTTGAGGGAAAATGGTTTGATACTGATCTTCACCAGTCTAAACTCCTTTACTCATATTGCAAATGTCTGCTAAATCTGCTGACATATAGAACCAGCTCAAAACAACCCACTTCTGGAAATGTGTGTGAGTGTGTGTATATAATCTTGGATTTTTTTTTTTTTTTTTTCTCTTTCTTTTTTCATTTTTATTGTGCTTTGGGTGAATGCTTACAGAGCAAATTCATTTCCCACACACATTTTGTTTCATGACATTGACAATTCCCCACAATGTAAAAGCTCTCTTCTCATTTCCTCCCCGTAGTTACCTCTTCCCTGTGACCCTCCCTCCAATGCACTCCCACCCCATCCCTAGCTATCTGCCTGTGCAAACACTGCTCTCTGTTCTCCCACAATTGATTGTCCCAAGGAGTGTATCTACCTGATGTAAATATTCACCCCATATGCCTGTCTGTTGTTTGGCTGCAAGCCACAGGAGTGAGTTCTGTTCCAGACCTGAAGGGTAGCTAGAGGACATGTCTTGAGGGTCTCACCAGGCTCTATAACTAGTAAATCTGGTCTTCTTTTGTGGTTTTGAATTTTGTTCCACATTGTTCTCCCACTCTATCCAGGATCTCCTTCCATTCCTGGTAACCAACAAAGAAAGCTTCCTTCCATATATAAACCTTTCCTTGACTTTTTACAATAGTGAAATAATACAATGTCCTTCTGTGATTGACTTATTTCACTCAGCATAATGTCCTCCAAGTTCATCCATGTTATGCAGTGTTTCACAGATTCTACATTATTCTTTAGTGTTGCACAGTATTCCACTGTGTGTATGTACCATAATTTTGTTATCCATTCCTCCGCTGATGGGCACTTAGGTTGTTTCCATCTCTTTGTTATTGTGAATAGTGCTGCAATGAACATAAGTGTGCATGTATCTGTTCTTGTTCTGGCTCTCACTTCCTTAGGATATCTACCTAGTAATGGATTTCTGGATCAAATGGCATTTCTAATTCCAAGTTTTTAAGGAATCACCATACTGATTTCCACAGTGGTTGTATCATTTTACAGTACCACCAACAGTGTATGAGAGTCCCAAGCTCTCCACATCCTCTCCAGCATTTGTTATTTCTGTGTTGTTGAACTTTGCTATTCGTGCGGGGTGAGACAGAATCTCATTGTTTTGATTTGCATCTCTCTAATGGCTAATGATCATGAATATATCTTCATGTTTTTTGGCCACTTGGATATCTTCTTTGGTGAAGTGTCTATTCATGTCTTCTGTCCATTTTTTTAAATTAGATTGTTTGTCTTTTTGTTGTTAAGGTGTTGGAGTATTCTGCAAATTTTAGAGTTAAGTCCCTTGTCAGGTATGTCATTGCTGAATATTTTTTCCCAATCTATAAGTTCTCTTTTTACTCTTTTGGAGAAGTATTTTGAAGCACATAAAAATTTAATTTTGAGAAGGTACCAATCATCTAGTTTATCTTCTGCTGTTTGTGCATTTTGGGTGATGCTTCATAGTCTATATATGCCATAAATTCCCCCAAAAAAACACAAAGTCACTGCTTCAAGTTGATTTTGACTCATAGCAACCCTTTCTTGGGTCTCCAAGGCAGTATCACCACAGAAGTAGATTGCTCCATCTTCCTTCCAAGGAGTGGCTGGTGGATTTGAATCACCAGCCTTCTGGTTAACAGTCAAATGCCTTAGGTACTACACCTTATGCCCCTAAATTTGCCCCTATTTTTTCCTTGAGGAGCTTTGTAGTTTTAGATTTCACATTTAAGTCTTTGATCCATCTGGAGTTAGTTTTTGTGTATAGTATGAAGTATGGATCTTGTTTCATTTTTCTGCAAATGGATCCCCAGTTTTGCCAGTACCATTTGTTAAAGGAATCCAATCTTGGATTCCTTTAAGACAAGCCCTGTGACCCTTAATTTCTCATTTGTTGTTCTTTCTCTCAACAGAAAACAAGCCTGGAGTTTTATATTGATATCCATGCCCATTCCACAATGATGAATGGCTTCATGTATGGCAACATCTTTGAGGATGAGGAACGGTTCCAGAGGCAGGCCATTTTCCCCAAGCTCCTCTGCCAGAATGCTGAGGACTTCTCCTACGTAAGTCAAAAGTTCTCGGCCAGCCCCACCTCCTCTCCTCCCACCCTCAGCACTCTCTTTCTCACTGCCTCCCTCTCTTTCTCATCACACAGTTTAGAACACTTGCTCTGTGCCAGGTCTTGTGTGGGTGATAGAGATAGTGATAAATAAGCTATGTCCATGCCTTCAAACAGCTCAGCAGTCAGAGACAGAGAGTTTTTGAAAAGGTGGTAGCATTTGCTCTGTCTCATGAGCTGTCATTTGTTTGCTTGATCTGATTCTATCATTAGCAAAGAAAAGACTCACTGAGCACCACCCACATGCCAGGCCCTGCCCCAGGGTCTGCTTACACCTAACTCAGTTCTTTTAGTATGAGCTTAACATGTCTGCTGAAGGGGCTCCTCTTCCAACCATTTTCTTCATCCATGACCTTTTCTTGGCTTCAATTTCTTTGTCACTGATTTCTTGGTGATAATTTCTTGCCATGCCTATATCACAGTTCTGAAAGCTATTTGCAAGCAGTAAAGAACTCAACAAACCCAAGACTATTGCTGTTAATACCCACCCCACATGCTGAGGAAGATTGGAGACTTCAGAACGGGAGTTAGAATGTTGTTGTTGTTAGGTTCTGTCGAATGGGCTTTGACTCATAGTGACCCTGTGTACAACAGAATGAAACATTGACCAGTCTTGGGCCATCCTCCCAATCCTTACTATGCATGAGCCCATTGTTGCAGCCACTATGTCAATCCATCTTGTTGAGGGTCTTCCCCTTCTTCGCTGCTCCTCTACTTTACCAAGCATGATATCCTTTCTCCAGGGACTGGAGTCAGAATAATTGATAGCAAAAAGTAATATTGGAAAGGGACAAGGCAAGACTATAAGGAAGGAATCAGCATGTAGTGGGGGGACATGGGAGAGAGTTTTTGCACATTTTCCTTTGTTTTGACACTAAATTTCTGGGGCCTGTTATTTCCATGTGGCCAGAGGGGGAGAGGCCTGCAAAGGTCATAGCAATTTTCAAAGTTTATGAGCTGAAAACTTGCCTGCCCATTGCTTCAGGCCTGGACATTAGTGAGAAGATGAATTTCTCCATGTGGTAAGATGTGCTTCAAGCCATAGAACCTTTGAGTGCCATTCCAGGCAGGGGAGTAGGAAATAATGTAGCCCAGCCTCCTCTTTATACCCAAGAGGCACCTTTGGTGCAGAAAAAAAATGAGTGTCTGGTGCAGAGTCACCTAGCATTTGGTGGTAGAATTAAAGCAGGGTTGCTTCACCATTTGCAAGTTCACTGGGACAAAAACAAGTGTGCTTGTTCCTTTAGGAATCTCTGCAGAATGGCCAGCCATGTCTTTGTGAAACCATTGCACTTTCAGAGCACAGCAGATTGTGGCTTGCTTAGTCCAGATTCCCTGGAAGAGTGGATCATAGGCCCCAGAGACTCTCACAGGGCCTACAATAGGGGAACCTTATTTTTGGACTTGCTTGATGGTGTTCCTGAGCTACAGCTTCCTTAAGAGCTCAGAACTAGAGATATTCCATCCAAACTCACCTGGTCCTCACAACTCTGTGAAAGAGCTATTATTTTCAATATGTCACAGATGAGGAAACTGTGGCTAAGACAAATAAGGCAACTTGCCTAACATCACATAATCAGTAGGTGGTAGGCATGCTTTGGAAGAGAGGACTTGAGATCCTGAACTGCTAGCTCTCTCTTTATCCTCTCTCTATCACTGTAATGAGTTTTCAACACCCAAGTGAAGAAGAAGATATGAGTTCAGGCATCCCAATTAGATGGGGCAGTATAGTGAAGGAGCATTGGGGTGTCTGGATTCAGTTTATCCTAGATTCAAATCTATGCTATTTCACTTACTAGCTGCAAGATACTCCATCTCTGTGAGTTTCAGTTTCTTCACTGTCTCAGTTATCTAGTTCCGCCATAATAGAAATATCACAAGTGGGTGGCTTTAACAAACAGAAATTTATCTTCTCACAGTTTCAGAGGCTAGAAGTCCAAATTCAGACTGCAGCTGTAGTGAAGGTCTTTCTCTCTCTGCTCTGGAGGAAGGTTCTTGTCTCTTCTGAGCCTCTATTCCTGAGCAGTCTTCATGTGGCTTGGCATCTCTACTCTCCCATCTCTGCTTCTCTTGCTTGCTCATTTAATCTCTTTTATATCTGAAAAGAGATTGATTTAAAACATACTCTACACTAATCTTATCTCATTAACATAACAAATGCAAACCATTCAGAAATGGAATTATAACCACAGGCACAGAGGTTAAAATTTACAACTCATGTTTTAGAGAAATACAAATCAATACATAACACTCATCTATACAAGCACCTGCCATCACGTCAATTCTGACTCATAGTGACCATATTAAAGGACAGAGTAGAAATACCCCACAGGGTTTCCAAGGCTGTAAATCTTCATGGAAGCAGACTGCTTCATCTTTTTCCCACAGAGCAGTTGGTGGGTTTGAATTGCCAAATTTCTGGTTAGCAGCTGAATGTTTTAACTACTACACCACTGGAGTTCATCACTTATATACAGAGAAACAAAATTATAACATCTACTTCAAGAGGTTGTTTTGAAGCCTTAATAAAATACTACATGGGAAATAGCATCATAACGTTGAAATCATTGCACAAATTTTAGACTGATTATACTGTTTCTACTCCACCTGTCCCCATTCAAAATCAACTTTCCTCAAAGATTTGTTGAATCATAGTTACTGTGTACCAAGGACTCCACTGATACTTTCACTGAATTATGTTTCTTTAAATCAGTTCCTATAATAATCCAGTGATAATGGGATTAATATTTCACCTTTTAGATGAGGAACTTGAGACCTAGAGATGTTGTAAGGTTTGGCAGCAGGTGCCCTACTTCGATTCTCAACTCCTACTCTGTCATTCACAGTCCAGCACATCCTTTAACCGTGATGCTGTGAAAGCAGGAACAGGTCGTCGCTTCCTTGGTGGACTCCTGGACCACAGTTCCTATTGCTACACTCTCGAAGTCTCCTTCTACAGCTACATCATTGGGGGCACCACGGCTGCTGTGCCCTACACTGAAGAAGCCTGTATCCTTGGAAGGTCCCCAACCAGCCCTGGGCCAGCCTCCATCCAGTTGCCAGGTCTGACAGAATTTACTCTACAAGTCAGAAATTAGGTCCCCAATTCAGGTAAGGGGTGAGACTCTGGGGTGGAGATGGAAATGGCTTGTTCCGCTGGTGCCATCTGTGGATTGGCCAGTTTGCTCTTGACCTTCATATCAACACCCCTCCACCCCTCCTCCAAACACATACACATACCCACCACTGCCTCTGCTAGGTCCCTAGACTTCTCAGGTACCTGGACTCATGGCCAACCTATAGACCTTATGCTGCTCACATCTTTCCTTCCCTTTCCCTGTCTCATGAGGGAGGAAGTATTCTGCCATGTAACATATGTAAGTACACAGGCTGGTCAACCAGCCCCAGGGTTGCTGGGGAAGAACTTGATGATCTTGATTCATCCTTCTAGCCCTGTAAATATAAAACTATATTTTCTTTTTCCTTCTTCTGTTTCCTTAGGCTCTCATTCTCTCACTTTGTCTTTTCTTTGTTCACTATTTTTTCCCTTGCTTGTTTCTTCTTCACCTTATTGTTTCTCCCCTCCCTTCCATCTCTTACTCATCTGTACGATCTCTTTCTAACCCTACTTCTTACTTCTGTTTTCTTCTCTCCTCACTCATCTTTGCCTCCTTCTCACTTATCTTTCTCCTCTCATTCTTTGTGCATTCTTCTCTCTGCCCTTGTATTTTTTTGCCAAATTGTTTTTCCTCTTAGCTTCCTCACCAAATTTTCCTGAAAACTCCCAAGATTACCATGGTGAAATTGGGAATAACTTTCTTAGTTGCTTGAGTTTTTAGGGATTATTTAGTAATTCAAATTTCAGAATCATTGCTCTGAAGTATAACAGATTCTGCCTTCACTCATTCTTTTGTTTTTGAATTGACCCAATTCTCTTTTCCTACACTTGCTTTTCTTGAATGAAGAATTATTATTGAAGGATGAGAAAGAAGAAGGACGAAATTAACTCTCTATATAAATTATATAAATTCTCTCTCCTCAGAAATAGAAGCACTCTATTTAGCCCTTCTTCAATCCTTGGTGAATGTTTATGGAGTACTTACCACTCTGTACAGGAAAATACCCTTTCTGGCATGACTTACTACTACTCCACTCAGCCCATCACAGCCTGGTGCCTCTGGGTGCATCATTTACCTTGCTGGTGAGAGAGCAGGCAGGCTGAAGGCTCCAGAGGGATGGGCTAGCAGGAGCTGGGCCAAGTGTTAAAGGAGTGTTCCAGACCCTTTCGACCATGGAGAGATTATGATAAGAATGGAGAATACCCTCTCATTGCTCACTAGAGATCAAGACAGTCAGTCTTGAAGTGTGATTTCATAACCAGCTGGCTTAGCAAAGTCAAGGATCAGGCTCTACTCCAAGGCAGAGGATCCTTGGTGTACAGAGCCCTGGCAATTTCTTACCTGCCACACTGTCCTTCCACTGGATGATGTGTGGCTCATGACTTCTCCGGGAGCTCCTAACTCCTGTGATACATGCTTAGGTCTCATTCCATGCTGTGCTTGCTTTGCTTTCCCATAATATTGTGGCAAAGGAGGTAGAGGGACTTAACTGGAGGAAAAGAAGTTTAAGTGTGTGCATCAAGGAGATTCTGCATGGGACATAGGTCCCTCCAGAGGAGACCTGCACTTAGTTGTGGTCATTTTCTGATGTAAAATATTGTGGGTTCTCCAATCCTTTCTCAGTAGTTCTGATATGCTTTTGTGCTGGAAGTAAATATTTTTCTTAGCAGACTATCCCTCCCTTAACCCAGCGCTGGAGTATCTTCCCATCAACCTCATCCTCATTCAGCAAAAGTGAACTGACTATTTAGTATGTACCAGGAATCATACAAGACAGCGGGGGTAAAATACCAAACAAGAAAGCACAGTTCCTGGCTCACAGAGCTTTCAGTCTACTTGAAGAGACAAAAACAGAAAGAGGTAATTATAATACCTATTATACATTCTGTGGTAGAGGAATTCCAGAGTGCTATGGGAAACATTCATTTAACAAAAATTGTATTGAGTGCCTACCATAGTCCAAGTAAAGTTCTAGACACTAGAGATATAGCAGTGAACATATTGAAGACAATTCCTGCCCCCCACCCCATGGGGATAAGGAAATTCAAACCCAGTCTTCAGATGCCAGAGACTTCTCAATGGAAGTGATATCCAGGCTCAGTTTTAAAGATTAAGTAAAAATGAACCAGATTCGGTTAGGGTGGGTTGTTGGAGGGAAGAAATTGTAGATACAGATGGGAGGGAGGAAGCTAGAGATTTAAGTGGTCCAATATGTCTGAAAGACTTTGGATGCAAGAATGAGGCCGAAAGGATAGGCTACAAGGAATTTGAACTTGAATATAAAGGCAATGAAGAGCCATTTAAGGATTTTTAATAGGGGTGGAAAGCTACTCTGGCTGCAGTGGGAAGAATAGATTGCAAGAGACCAAAACTAAAGACAGGGGCACATGTTAGTTATGACAATCCAAGTGGGAGATGGTGGCTGTTGTTAGGTGCCATCAAGTTGATTCTGACTCATAGCAACCCTATGTACAACAGAACGAAACACCACCCAGTCCTGCAGCATCTTCACAATCCTTCCATGCCTGAGCCCATCCTTGCAGCCATTGTGTCAATCCATCTCATTGAGAGCCCTTTTTTTTTCTCTGACCCTCCACTTTACCAAGCATGATATCCTTCTTCAGGGACCATTCTGAAAACATGACCAAAGTACATGAGACAAAGTCTCATTCTCACTTCTAAGGAGCATTCCAGCTATACTTCTTCCAGGACAGATATGTTCGTTCTTCTGGCAGTCTATGGTATTTTCAGTAGTCTTCACCAACACCACAATTCAAAAGCATCAATTCTTCTTCAGTTTTCCTTATTCATTGTCCAGCTTTCACATGCATATGAGGTGACTGAAAATACTATGGCTTGTGTTAGGCACACCTTAGTCTTCAAAGTGACATCTTTGCTTCTTAACACTTTAAAGAGGTCTTTTGCAGGACATTTGCCCAGTGCAATACAATGTCTGATGTCTTGACTGCTGTTTCCATGGATATTGATTGTGAATCCAAGTAAAATGAAATCTTTGACAACTTCATTCTTTTCTCCATTTATCATGATGTTGCTTATGGTCCAGTTATGAGGATTTGTGTTTTCTTTATATTGAGATCCAATTCATACTGAAGACTGTAGTCTTTGATCTTCATCAGTAAGTGCTTCAAGTCATTTTCACTTTCAGCAAGCGAGGTTGTGTCATCTGCATATCACAGGTTGTTAATGAGTTGACCTGCAATCCTGATGCCATGGTTTTCTTCATATAGTACAGCTTCTCAGATTATTTGCTCAGCATAGAGATTGAATAAGTATGGTAAAAGGATACAACCTTGATGCAGACCCTTCCTGATGTTAAAACATACAGTATCCCCTTGTTCTATTTGAATGATTACCTCTTGGTCTATGTATAGGTTCCCCATGACACAATTCAGTGTTCTAGAATTCCCATTCTTTGCAATGCTATCCATACTTTGTTATGATCAATACAGTTGAATGCCTTTGCATAGTCAATAAAATACAGGTAAACATCTTTCCGGTATTGTTTTCAGCTAAGATACATCTGACATCAACAATATCCATCATTCCATATCCTCTTCTGAATCCAGCTTGCATTTCTGGAAATTTCCTGTCAATATACTGCTGCAACTATTTTTTAATTATCTTCAGCAAAATTTTATTTGTGTGTGATATTGTTTAATAATTTTCATATTCTGTTGTATCACCTTTCTTTGGAATGGGAACAAATATTGATCTCTTCTAGTTAGTTGGCCAGTTAGCTGTCTTCCAGATTTCCTGGTTGATGGTGGTAGTTGTAGAATATTAACTGATTGCCAATGAATTCAGATTCATGGTAACCTTGTGTGTATAAGAGTAGAACTGTTCTCCATAGGGTTTTCTTTCAATAGCTAGATTTTTGGAAGTAGATTACTAGACCTTTCCTCTAAGGTACCTTAGGGTGGACTCAAACCTCAACCTTCTGGTTAGCAGCCAAGTGCATTAACCACTTGTACTACTCAGAGACTCCAATGGAATATTAAGAATTTGGTGTTGAGAAGACTTAGTAATTAATTGGATGGAAGTGGCATTGGGGAACAGGGACTAGTTATTGGAAGGAGTTAAGGGTGAATACACTACGTGCCCACACACAAGTGGAGCAACTCATGATGCTGTTGGAGTCACTCTGCCTTTTTCTATCATTCAGAGGATAAGAACAGGAAAATGGAATTGCACCAGGGAAGCTCAGGCCAATTCAACACATGCAAGTGTGATTTAACCTGGTTCTTGTTGGATTTTTTTTTTTTTTCCAAATCTCATCTCATAACAGAGGAAGATTTCAGGCAGACAGATTGTGATCTTTGTTGGCTTCTGGCTCCATGTCTCCATCAGAAAAAGAAATTACATGGTCTGATGGGAATGGCAATATGGTCTGGGAGAATGTGTCCTCTGGATTAAGAGTCAGGAGATCTAGATTCTGATGACAGCACTAACTTCCTCCCAGAGTGTGCCCTTCAGCAAGTCCTCTGTCCTCTCAGAGGTGAGCTTTTAAAAAGGGATCACCTTTAAAAAGGGATCAAGGACCTTCAGCTTTTCTAACCTCTGCTGTGGGAATTAAATAGAGATATTCATGAAAAAGCATGGTGCTATTGAAACAGAACAGACTTCAGATTTGAATGTACCTGGGTTTGAATCCTGGCTAAGCCAATTACTAGATATGCAGCCTTGGACACATTACATAACCTCTTCTGGCCTCAATTTTCTAATCCATAACAGGAGAACATAATACTTAACCTCACTGAGTTGTATGCAGTCAAATATATGTGAGTATGTATAGTAAAATATAAATACTAAGTGAATATTGGTTAAAACATTGAAAAGGTTTATGTGGGTGTAAGTGAAGACCTACTTAAA